GGGGAATTTGGAATTTGGGGAATTTGGAGAATTGAGAATTTGAGCGATTGAGAATTTGAGGAATTGGGAATTTAGGGAATTAGTAATTTTGGGAATTGGAAACTTAGGGAATTAGTAATTAATAATCTAGGGATTTAATGATTAAGAAATCTATAACATAAGTATCTAGGGAAATAGGGATTTTAGGGAATTGGGACTTAATAATCTAGGGATTTAATGATTAAGAAATCTATAACATAAGTATCTAGGGAAATAGGGATATAAATATCTCGGAATTTGAAATTTTGAGAATTTCTGATCCTAGAAATTTAGAGAAATTTAAAATTGAGAATCTAAAGATTGAAAGGTCAAAAAATTTAAAACATAAGTATCTAGTGAGATAAAGATTTGAATCTCTAGGAATTTTAAGGTTAAACAATTTTTAGACCTAAAAATTTCAGAACATAGGAAAATGTCCCTAAAAATATTAAGATTTGGGGATTTAAAAATTTTACAATCTAGAAACTTGAGAAACTTGAAAATTTGGAAATTTTTCTATTTAGAAATCTAACAATTTAACTACTCAAAAATTTGAAAATGTAGCAACTTGAAAATTAAAAAATTTGAAAAAGCATAAAATATAAAATTTTGCAAAATTTAAAAGCTTGATCATGTAAATATGAAAATTTTTAGGTTATAAATTTACGAAAGAGATCTACATTGCTCGGGAGTGTACGTTGTCTTGCGCAGTTATTTTGCAAGCAGAAATATACGTCACTCGCGGATAAATTGCTCTTTTTCTTTCTTTCTCTAGCTTGAACGTGTAAATATTTTATACTTTCGATGTTTCATCTCTGGCTGCGATAATGGAAACAAAAATTTTTGCAAAACAAGTTGTATTTGAATTACCTGACATGGTAGCCATTTTCTGTCCTTTTTTAATAATGTAAGTTTATCCTAGGATATTGTTGATGTTACAATAATAATATAACTAATGTGTTGTAATTAAGCAATTTTATTTTTGAATATATGTTAGTAACATATTATGTAACATAATGTTACATACTCAACGATGTGTTTATTAAAAACTAATAGAAATATGATGCATATATATGTTTTACATAAAAATTCTTTAGAATCTTCCACGGTTATTTTATTTTAGAACAAAAAGACAAAATTGTAAAAAAATAACTGTGATGCCTCAAAGTGACTTCTAATAAAATAACTAAAGAATGATAATAATATTAAACTATTTCTATTAACATCTTTAATATTTTCATAATAATTTATCATTTTGTACAACATCCGTTACCTAACAAAAACTTAATTTCAAACCCGTGAGCCAAGTAAACAAAATTTAATTTTTAACGCGTTAAGTTTACCTCACAATTCTAACACGTCTACTCAACATCCCTTTAATAACACCCGGCGTACATAAAAAACCGTAGAAACAATTTCGACCAAATTTTATTAAAGAATTTCCCCCTTTAAATCCGCCGCGGTGCATAAAGAAAGACGGAGACCTGGCGAAAATGGTGCATAAATCTCGCGAAGAACGCGAACAAGTGTGACGAAAATCTCAGTGGCAGAGCAACTTCAGCCACCGTGTGATACGTATCGAGCCGTAGACGATGAAAATTCCGACAACATCCGACGAACTTGTACTTCCGACAACTTTTCGATCCTGCAAGTACACTTCACCTGCGAGTAAATCAGAATGAGATCAAAGGATCGTAGAATCTGATGGTATGGATAGGCCAGGCTCTGTGCTCGTTTTTCGTGTCTTGTACAGTCGAGAGGAAATCTACCTTCCGTATGAAAAATATTGCAACGCATGAATTACGTGGGTCTTACTTAATTTTTGGGGATTTTTAGGATTTTGGAAAGGGATGTAGGTAGATGGAGAGGTGGGAATTGGAAGTGGAGGAAATTTGAGGGTGAAGGAATTTAGGGATGGAGGAATTTATTGGTGATAAAACGATACACGAATTAACATTTGTCTCCATCTAACGCAATTAATCATTTCTTCTTACGTTCGCATGTTTCGATTCAATTTTGTTCTTTGCTTTACCTTACATAAATTAAATTGTTCATTTTGGAATCTCGTTCTGTATATAATTTGTTACGTCACTTTTCGACCACGGATCTCCTCACCTTCAACAGAATTTGGGGGTGGAGGAATTTGGTGATGTAGAAATTTGGGGATGTGGGAATTTGGAGGTGTGGGAATTTGGGGGAGTGGAAATTTGGAGGTGGAGGAATTTAGGGATGTGGAAATTTGGGGGTGTGAAAACTTGGGGATATGGGAATTTGGGGGTGCGGAAATTTGAGGATGTGGGAATTTGGGTGAGTGGAAATTTGGGGATGGAGGAATTTGGGGATGTAGGAATATGGGGGAGTGGAAATTTGGGGGTGAAGGAATTTGGGGATGTAGGAATTTGGAGCTGTGGGAATTTGGGGGTGGAAGAATTTGGGGATGTGGAAATTTGGAGCTGTGGGAATTTGGAGGTGTGAAAATTTTGGGGTGTGGAAATTTGGGGATGTGGAAATTGGGTGTGGAAATTTGGGGGAGTGGAAATTTGGGGGTAGAGGAATTTGGGGATGTAGGAATTTGGAGCTGTGGGAATTTGGGGATGTGGAAATTTGGAGCTGTGGGAATTTGGGGGTGGAAGAATTTGGGGATGTGGAAATTTGGAGCTGTGGGAATTTGGAGGTGTGAAAATTTTGGGGTGTGAGAATTTTGGGGTGTGGAAATTTGGGGATGTGGGAATTTGGGAGAGTGGAAATTTGGGGGTGGAGGAATTTGGGGATGTAGGAATTTGGAGCTGTGGGAATTTGGAGGTGTGAAAATTTTGGGGTGTGGAAATTTGGGGATGTGGAAATTTGGGGGTGTGGTAATTGAGGAATGTAGACATTTGAGGGTGCAGGAATTTGGGAATGTAGAAATTTAGGGGTGTAGAAATTTAGAAACATAAAAATTTGAAAATGTCAGTAATTTTGAAATTTTCAATCCGAAACCCACAAGATTAAAAAATATAAAATTTCTAAAATTTGAAAATTCGGAACCTGGATATTTGCGAATATATGAATTTATGAATTTAAAAGCTTGCCAGCTTACGTATGTATTCCTTGTCCAAAGGAAGCTTACATTGCACTCGAGTGTACATGCATATAGCAGGTTTTTCTCGTTCCTGCTTTTGTATATCTTTCCATGCACGGGCTCGATGAAAAACAAATCTCCTGGGTTTTCGTTCATTCTACACCGCGATACTTGAAAAACACGATGCTCTTAAGTAATACGCGTCGACATTCGCATACTTCGTACACAGAGTGTGAAATAAATGGAAGAGAAAAAGGGACGTGGAAGTCGTGGAAATGTGAATATAATACCTTTCGTTGGAGTTTGGATTTACATCGATGAAGACATTTACATCGATGAAGAAATTTACATCTGAATTTACGACGAAAATTATATAAGTATTATATACTTGGTGTGGCAAAAAATATTTACAATATGCACGTTTTGATGTATTAGAAGGTTAATAAAATCAAAGTGACAAACAAATGTTTTCGTTTGAAAATTGTTGTAAGTTGTTACGATAGTAATAATTTACGATAGTAATTATTTGTGCACCCTGTATATTTCATGAAACGTTACACTAAAATCACGGTTAACTGACAACACAATTCAATTAAACTTGTCGATTAATTAATGTGAGAAACGTCGAGTACACGTGCGCTCGAGTACAAGACGAAGGGAATTTCTGAACGTCTTACATCAATATATTCTTTCAAGATTTATGTCGAATTATTGCGGATTTACATACTTCATATTTCTGTAGTTTCAAACTCTTTTATTTCCATTTTCGAAACTCCTTACATCTTCAATGTTTAAAAATTACTCGATGTTTCATGAGTTTGAAAATTTGTGACTCTTCAAAGTTGTAATTCTAAAAATTTACGAGTACTCATTCTGTTACAATGTATTTAAATTTGTTAAAAAACTAATGTCTACAAAATTGAACACTAATCAGAAAAAGAAGGGTGGAAATTTCAATGAAAGTTGAATTTCAACTATACAGAAAGTGTAAAGGTCCCGAATGTAATTACCAACTTAATAGAACGCCACGAAAGTGATTTCAATTAGTTTTTTAATTATAGAGCATAATTAAATACGCTAGAAAATTGACATATTCTGAAAAGTCGAAAAGCAACTATTGTAGCAAAAGTTCATTTTAATGATTCGGTCCGTATACGTGCATTATTAAAACGAATAGCTGACTATAAGAATTACGGCGATTTAATGAGCGGTTATTAAAATCTCTGTCTCTTTATGAAAAATTAAGTACTCTTGAATGCCATTGTGTGCAGTAGGTTTTGAAAGACCGAACCGGATAAAGAGACATTAAGGTATGAATTCTCTACACGGAGACTGGCGGATTCAAATATTATTCACACTCAATTTAACTTATTGAGAGCCAGGAGATGCTGCTTGATGGCTCAGTCTACAATAGCGTAACAATTAATCGCTGAATGAACTATCTCACTGTTCCGTAATTTCCTGTCATTTATCAAAGCCATCCCTCTGAACGTTTCTGCAAAACACGTGCACCCGCCCCTATCAATTCTGTAATGACTTTATTTCCTAAATTTCATATTCTTTGTTTACAAATTTTCTAATCTGTGTAAACATTTCCTTAACATCTATTTGAAAGGGGTGAAAAATAAGAACAATTTGTAAGAACATTATATTTATTTGTACCCGCTTGTATTAATATTTATAGACAATATTACACAATAATACAAATAAACTGAATACAACGATAACTTGATAACTCTGAAATTTGGTTGAAACCGAAAGTCGACCTATTAATCAATTACAAAAATGCAGAAGTACATCTGATCTTTTAACTCAGTTTTACACATAATTTTTATGAAACTATGATTTCTTGTATAAGCTGTACATTAAATGCGTAAAAAAATACCATTAACAATAAAAGATAAACACGCAATGTTTAGTGTTATAATTCAGTCTAGCAGTGAAAATCACCGTGAAAAGATGTACAAACAAAAATTCGAGTACACTTGTTATTGATTCATTTTAAAACGAATGACCAACTTTCTTTCGTGGACTATTAATGTAAAGGAGACTTAATAAAATATCGAAAAAATTAAGAAATTAAAAGTACAAACGCGACTTGTAAAGTTTAAATAATAATTAAAATTACACTACTGACTGGCTGTACGATAAATAATTCTAAACCGTCTGATTTGACGTTATTAGCTTGTGCTTTCTTAAGGAGAAATTTCTTGAATTTTATTTCATTTCATTAACTGAAACATTTTCTTCTAAACACAACTTAAGAAACCGTGTTTAATACCAGTGATGGACAACTGCGCCTGCAAGGGTACAAAATTTCTAAGCCACTAAATTTCTAAATTTGAAAATTTGAGAGTTCAAAAGTTTGAAAATTTGAAATTTCTATATCTCTAACTTTCTAAACCGTATCACTGCACGTTCTGTGCACCGTGATCTCTCTATAGGCACTTCATTTACCCATCACTGTTTAAAACTATAACATTACACGCAATAATTTGCAGTTAAAAGTTAAGTTTCGTGCCTTCCGTACCAATAATGGTCAAACGCAACCGCAATGTACTATTCAATTAGACTAATGTAGTTTTTTTTTTAAATAACAAGAATGTGTTCAAACATAAATCTATCTTCATGTTGCAAGTTTCGAATTCGCATCACTTTTAACACAACACTTACATTCCATGTAAAGTGTATTGGTTCGCTGCTCACTTTCATATTAATGTCAATTTTACATTATTAGTAGAAATTTATTAAGAAGCGATTTTCTGATCAGAAAGCTATAGTACATAACAATAGTGGTACCAAGTTTCATGTGTTTGGTACTAAGCTTAACCAACTTCGACCTTCGCCGCCAACCGATGTTGGAAATCGAATTTGCACTAATCGAACCGCGTTCTTCTCCTCTCCTACTTCTTTGTACTCCGAGGTAGCTGGTACAACTATTGTTTCACCATCCTCGGTTTCGTTATAAGCATATACTTCTTCTACTTGTTCCGAATCTTCATCTTTACACTCCATTCCCTCATTTTCAACAAAGTCGATCTAAACATAACAATTTAATTGTTTATTACACATTAATATTGATATTTCATATTCAAGGCTAGTTACCTCTTCGTTAACCAGATGGCCTACTTCTTCATCTACATTTTCTTCTGCCGGAATATTTAGTACATCTTCTTCGTTATATATCTGGTCATCATTTTGTTGTATAATAACGTGATCTTTTAATTCGGTCACATACAATTCAGTTTCCTCCAACTAAACATAAATATTGAAATAGCAGTTTTTGTATAATATATAAAAGATGAAATGCTCCTAATTACCTGATCATTTTCTGCTTCGTCCATTAGAAGTTCTACGTTGTTATCAGGAATCGCCATTACCTGATCGTCTTCTGTAGTTAGTCGCGGTTGATTAACTACGATAGTGTCGTTCAAATGACCCTAAAACACGTAACACAAATTCAGCATCGAATGTAAGCTTATTATCTTAGGAGAAAGTATTAACTCACTTGAGTTTGCATGTGAGCGTACAGCAAAGGTTTCCGCATGAATCCCATACCGCATACTAAACATTCATATGGTTTTTTATCACTGTGTATGAATCGATGTGCATTCCTGTTGTCTCTACTATTAAATGCTTTACCACAAACCTGCAATTTTATAATACTATAAGTAAAGTAATATAAACAATTTCAATTTTCTTTAGTTATATCATTTCTACAGTACCTCACATAAATAAGGTTTCTCTCCAGTATGTATACGCATATGCTTTTTGAAATGTTCCGGATAAACAAACGTTGCTGAACATTCTTCGCATTTATATGGTCTTTCACCAGTATGAGCTGCTTTTATATGATAATCCAACAGTCTTCGTCGTTTAAATCCCTTCCCGCAATCGTCACATTTATATCGTTTGTCATTGTAATGCGTCGCACGTTTATGCGATTGTAAATTTGATCTTTGACTAAACAATTCAAAAAATATAATCAATATTTCTTACAAATTGTAATCAACAATTATAAAATAAGTGTACCTAAAAGTAGCTCCACAAAATTCACACTGATACGGTTTTTCACCAGTATGAGTTCTTTCATGATCCCTTATTTCAGCTTTACGAGCAAACGCTTTACCACACATCCTACATATATATGGTTTGTAGCCTGTATGTACTATATTGTGCACTTCCAGATTATGTGGAGAACCAAATGCTTTTCCTGTACATTTAATCGTTTACATCAGCAATGATTCAGTATATAAAGCTAAATTTATTAATAAATAAATCGTACCGCATTGATGACAAACATATTCCTTGACACCATTATGAGTTCTTTCATGTTGATTAAGATTTTGTTGACTCAAGAATGTTTTATTACATTGTGAACACTCGTACGGACGAGGTCGTACTTCGTGCGTTTTTATATGTGCCTTGTATGTATATTTGGAAGCAAAATCTTTACCGCAGTTTTCACATACGTATGGACGAACGCCTGTATGTGTATTGATATGTTCCTCTAGTAAATTTCTGGAACTGCAGAAAATATTAAATTAATCATGCAATGTAAATATCGTTAGAGTATCGACACACGTCGTAACACACCTATATCGTTTACCACATGTTTCGCATGGCCATGATTTTACTTGGGGATAATGTATCCGTTTATGAATTCTGAACAACCGCAAATTACTAAATATTCTATTACATATCTCACACTGGAAATCTCCCTCCTCCTTAGCAACGTGATCATCGAGATGAACAGACAGTTCATTCCTTTTTTTAAAATCGTCTCCGCATATGTCACAAATATACAAACGAGTTTCATGCACACTTTTCATGTGAGCAATAATAGATTTTGCATCTCCTACAGTTTTATCTTCTTCGGTTCCACATAATAAACAGGTGTATATTGAACCATCTCTACTCACAATCTAAACAGAAACGAACAGTTGAAGAAATGTTTAATCAGAGTTTGTGTATCCAACTGAAAAATACCTACTTGTTCTTGCAAAATTTCAACTTTTGCTGAAACTTTTGACCTTTTCATCCTCTTTTTCTCTTCTGTATTACTTGCTTCAGCTATTTGTTCAATTTTAAGAACAACTTCTTCTGGTTCACAGGAAGGTTCTTCTTCCTCTTCCAATCTCTCTTCTTCACCCTCCAACTCTTCCTCTTGCATTTCCTCTTCATCCTTTAAATATATTTCAGTATCATAGATATGTAAAAAATATTTTAGTATAATTTGTATAACTGAATTTTGTTAAATACCCTCTGCGAATATTTCATATCTGTGTCTGTACATTGACTTTCTGCATTTTCTATATAATCATGATCATTATATTCTTCTTCGGTTTGAACATCGGATATCTTTTTGATAGTCTTCTTATAATTATTGAAAAGTTCTAGTTTTACCTCTGTCAATCGACTTTCAAGCTCATCAACCTGCAGACATACAGTTACCTTTCAGCTATTTTCACACGATTACAGATAATATAATAATTAGTACCTTATTTACCTCATTGAACAACTTATAACATTTTTTACACATAACAAGAGAATGTGCATTCTCTTCATTTAAATCTATTTCTAAGACATTACAAATTGTATCTACAAGTGGTTTCTCCGATGATGTTACAGAATTTTCATTAAAGATACGTATACTATTCCTAGTAGATACGCCGACTTTACTATTACATATTAAACAATGAACGATATCCTTCTCGGAATCAGCCGTCATCTTTTCGGCAACTGCAAAAACAATACACATGTTAATAAATATAATTTTATCAAAGGATGTTAATACAATACATAATGAATCCAGCACATGGAAAGCAAAGTTTTTATAATATTGGATCTGATAAAGTATCACTTAAAATAACTTTCCATAAAATAACATTTAGATTATGAACCAACTCGTGCGTGAAGTATAGCAATAAAAAACCAAAAAAACACGTTAAATTACATTATTAAGCAATATAAAAAGAACAGTATCAAGTACTTTGCATTTCGTGGAGTCATTTTTGATTCTCATAGCCAAGTTACGCGAACGAGGCTAGAATCTGGTTAAATCAAATTTTGAGTCTAGTCTTCTTATGTAACAGCGCACGTCGTGCACTGAAAACAAGAAAACGTCCAACGACATTGTATCTTGTCGAACAATAATGTATCCGACGATGCATCGTACGAACGAAGGAACAATAAATAACTTGGCAGGGCGTCCAACGGGCTCGTTTGTTCTAACATGCAACGAAACAATTCGTTGTTTGCCCACATCGATAAGTAACCGCTAAAATCCAATAACCCTAACAATAGTCCGCGAGGAACGGTAAACAAAATATTTGCCTGCGTTCCTCGTCGCAAAATGAAGCCTTTATAATAAACGTAAAAAGTTGCCAGCACTGACTTGAAATTTTCGTTTCTCTGTTCGAACGATTGGCAGCGAGCGAAACGGCAGACGGGTCTGGATGCCAACGCCATTTAGGCCCTCATGACAAGTAGGGATGTTGATTGCGATGAAACTGCAACGAAAAATATCCGCCAAAACGGTAGCCACTTTTTTGAACGTGATCGACAATTTGATGTCACCTCTGCGGTTAGGTGGAGGCACGCGATTGCGTATGCACGCGTCGAATGCCCTCTATCGGATCCTTTCCATGGGTAATGGAGCCATATTTTACAAAATTTCAATCGTTCTACGTCGAATAAATGTAAAAACATGTTTAGAATAGCATATATTGATAATATGAAAGTTTACAGAATTTATTACGTACACATATTTCAATCGTAATGGATGTTTCATTGTTTATTAAAGAGAACGGTTTATTTGCAGTTTGAAGAGTTACAATACTTTTCATTTATCGCATACTATATTTGTAGAATGTTTGATACAGTTCATGTATTATTAATTTATAATTCAAGTTTACACTTCATTCCTATATTTCTAATTCCAATGATAATAGATCCTTGAAAAAAGTAACATAGATAATTTGTTTCTTTTTCAATTTTTAAATCGTTTCTGGGAACCAATGGGAAGATAGTATTTACATCTATTTTTTTTCTATTTGATAGTGATTCAAATTTTAATATAGTTTGAGTAGCGTCATGTTTAATTAAACGCCGCCATTTTTTAAAAAGTAGTGTACCGATGTATGTGAAGTACATCCGTTAGTGGAAACCGGTAGACGATTTATGAGAGACATTAGAATACAAATGGTAGTTCTTGATGCTTGTGAAGGAGAGACGATCGATGAAAAACAACCAATAACGTGCGCGTGATCTGAAGTCGCTTATTTTTAACGAATGATTTCATTAGTTACTTAACCTGCTAATATCATGTTCATCTGCATCCTTCTCTAATAATTTCACATTCATGATTGTGACGTTTAATTGTTTGAATTACCGGCAAACTGTAGTCGAAAAAAATCGCGTAATTATTTAGAAGTGTTCAATAACTTTTTTTATGAAATGAACAAACATGAGTCTACAAGTAGTTATGGACCCCTCGTCGGTGCAGTCGATGAAGGGACAAGTAGTGCTAGATTTTTGGTACTATAATTTTGTTGATTATTTGTAACTTTAAACTATTTTAACATAACGTTCTCCGTTATATATGATACTTGTATTAAAAAAATTATATTAAATTATTTGAAAGAAATTAAAGAGTATTTTGCTGCTTGTATTTTGCTGTTTTGTAATGTACATGATTTTTATACATTAATTAATATATTGTATTATTGTTGTAGGTGTTTGCTGCAAACACAGCTGAAGTATTAACATATCATCAAGTACCTATATCGCACATATGTCCAAAAGAGGGATGGGTTGAGCAAGATCCTATGGAAATATTGAGAGCAGTTAGAGAATGCCTTCGTCAGACTGTATTTAATTTAAAACAACTTGACATTGATCCAAGTGATATTGTTGCAATTGGTATAGCAAACCAAAGAGAAACTACAGTTGTATGGGATTCTTTTACTGGAGAACCATTATATAATGCTATTGGTAACAACTGATACAAACATCTACTTCTGTGTATAATTATATCTTTGATAGAAATTAAACATTTCATAAATAAATTTCAATTTGTTTGCAGTGTGGATGGACATGAGAACTACTTCAATTATAGATGATATATTAAAAAAGATACGTAATAAAAATAAAGACTATTTGAAGTCACTCTGTGGCTTACCAATTAGCCCATATTTTAGTGCATTAAAATTAAAGTGGTTATTAAAAAATGTGCCTCGTGTTCGTGAAGCCTTGAAAAAGAAGCGATGCATGTTTGGAACCATTGATACTTGGTTAATTTGGGTGAGTTTATTATCAAATAATTTTATTAAAATTCATATTTGTACCAAAATGTCTTGAAGATATATTTTTTTATTATAGAATTTGACTGGTGGACCAAACTATGGCATTCATGCTACAGATGTTACAAACGCTTCACGAACAATGTTAATGAATATCACCACTTTAGAATGGGATCCAACATTACTATCATTTTTTAAAATACCACCAGAAATTTTACCTGAAATTCGAAGCTCATCTGAAATATATGGTTATATACAGGATGAAGTTCTCTCAGGGGTACCAATATCAGGGGTATGCATCATTTTATAATAATGAAATGAATAATAGCTAATGCATGTAATACATTTACTAACAAGTGAGTAATTTTTTATGAGTCAGTATTTATTCTTAGTGCTTAGGTGATCAGCAGGCAGCACTGGTAGGTCAGATGTGTTTACATAGGGGTCAAGCAAAAAGCACATATGGGACTGGATGTTTCCTTTTATACAATACTGGAAGTGCTGTAAGATTAACTTCAATATTTGAAGAAATATTTTTTATATAATAGATATTAATAAATAGTTTTTTAGATTATAAACTCATCTCATGGTCTATTGACAACAGTTGCTTATCAATTAGGACCACAAGTACGTCCGGTATATGCTCTTGAGGGTTCTGTAGCGGTAGCTGGAGCAGTCATTGAATGGCTAAAAGATAATCTTGGACTAATATCAGATGTAAAAGAATGTGAAACTCTTGCCGCACAAATTCCAACTGATAATCGCATCACATTTGTGCCTGCATTTTCTGGACTATATGCTCCATATTGGAGAAAAGATGCAAGGAGGTAAATAATATAATATGTAATCTAACATTGTAACTGTATTGCAATATAGAATTAAAAGTCCTTATTGATGTTACTATCACATCTCTTTTGCAAAGTATTGACATTTCAGTGTTATATGCGGAATTACTGAAGACACTAATAGTGCACATATTATAAAGGCAGCTTTGCAAGCTGTTTGTTTTCAGACAAGAGACATTTTAGAAACTATGAAAGAGGAGACTGGATTTGTTTTATCCAAACTATTGGTAGACGGGTCTATGACTAATAACAATTTGTTAATGCAAATGCAAGCTGACATATGTGGGATTCCAGTTGGTAAACGAAATATTTTTTAAAGAGTATTTGGCTTTGATTTAAATAAGAGAAATAAATCAGTAATATAAATATCTGATCAAATATCAAATTTTACAAGAAAGTGAGGCCTTTGATGTGTGAGACTACTGCACTTGGAGCTGCAATAGCGGCAGGAAGTGCGGATGGTATACGCAAATGGGATATGAAAATGGATGGTGCCGTTCCAAGTGACACCTTTTTAACTTCCATAAGCGAAAACGGTACTTTTAATGTGATTCTTTTTTTACGCATAAGTTAATTCGTATATTAAAAATATAATCTTTTATACAGAAAGAGATAAACTGTATTCACAGTGGAAGATGGGGATTGAGAGAAGTTTAGGTTGGGAGCCAGAAATAGTTGTCACTGGTAAGTATAATTGTAAAGCATAAATAGATAATCACATTATTATTATACTAACGCGTGCAAACAATTTTCTTCCAGATAATACAAATGGTATGCATAAAGCAACTGCTCTTGGTATTTTTGTGATAGGTACAATAATTGTACTTTTAGTTGCCAGGTATCGTTATACCTCATGACTGAACGAGTACAGTACCATGTACTGTATTGTCCACCAATGATGCATTTGGGCAGGTCCTTTTTGCTTAGACTATTAATTACTGTATTAATTATTAAATTTGTAAACGTAACATTATTTATAAATAAAGGTGCCATAGTTCTGTGATAATTTTTATATCGAACGAAATAGAGGAAGTTAAAATAGCGATATTGTTTGATAGTCCGATTTATTTCAAGTGTACATCATTATTGTTTTGATCTGAAATACCTATCTGGGATGACCGGCGGATATTGACGATGTGACCTCTAATATCTGTATGCTTGTTTATTTTCTTATTCGTTTCATTTACCTTTATTTCAGTAACCTTTGGTAATGTGTATGGAGCATTCTAAAGGAGTATGTGGTATGCGATAAAGAAATATTGATTGAGTAAAAAAAGACAAAATAAAATATTACCATGAGAGTATCAGTAGTAGAAGTTTGAACTGTAACTAAAGATGCAGAAAGCCAAACATCATTTCTTATCCTATCAATATGTAACCGTGTTCGTTGTGGCACAAGTATACGTGAGATAAGAGAACGACAAGATTGAGATACCTTTGGATCTTTAGGAAATGTAATCCTGCTCTGTACTTGCTATGTCATAAAAAGAATGTACGTTAATATAGAAATGGAATTTTAGGTAAATGAATATTATATAACATAAAATAACTTTCGTATCATCGGTTTCTATTTCGTTTTTAATTTGTTTTCTTAATGTACCTGGGTACCTTTAGAAGTTGGTTGTAATTCGTGTCATCAAATGGTAGTCGACCGTAAACCATTGCATAAAGTACTACACCCATGGACCATACATCAGACAATTGAGGTAAATATGGGATTCCCTTTAATATTTCAGGCGAGGCATACGCATAGCTTCCGCAGAAGGTTTCGCTCAATGGATTTATACCGTTTTTCGGTTTCATTTGACCACGTGCAAATCCAAAATCGGATAATTTAACATTGAAATTAGAATCCATTAAAAGGTTTTCGCACTTGACGTCTCTTAAACGAAATTGATTTGTAAATTTTAGTATGTACGATCATTAATTCTTAACCATCATATTTTTACCTATGAACTACACCGCGTCCGTGACAATAATCAATCGCTTCGAGTAATTGTCGAAACCATCTGCGACTACGGACTTCATCAATAAAAGTATCCCGCCTTATTATATCTAGTAAACTGCCATTTTGAGCGTACTCCATAATAATGTATACCCTAAACATAGAATTTTCTAAATCATTATATACATTTATAAACCTAATAAATTGACTAACCGATGGGTTGTTTCGATTGCCTGAAGAAAACGGATTAAATTTGGATGCCTTAAACCTTTCACAACTTCAATTTCACGTGGTAAAAATTTCTTTAAATATTCGCCGGGTGCTTGAAACTTTGAAACTATTTTTATTGCTACTTGGCAATCATGTCGACAGGATTTAGCGATCTTGGCGTCACATATTTTTATAATAATTCAGTATCTTTTTTTATACACATTAATTTCTGACAAATTGGTTTTTTGCATAACATACTTTCACAGTAGCATATGAACCGGATCCTATAGTTTTTCCAAGATTATAACCGTGCGATTCGAGAACAGTTAATTTCTTATCTGTTTTTTCATCGTGTTCGTTATCCGCGGATTTTAATAGGGGTTTTGGAGAATTATCTGCTATTGGAGCAGTTGCCATCTTATGTGTAAATAGCTGTATTGGCTGTAAATGTTTAATAAATAAATATAGACTATGCTACATTTTTTTCATAAATGTTACATTATTACTTTTGTTTCGGGGCGTGGAACGACGTCATTTTATTTATTGTTACATATTTCAAAGAATTTTATTGTAGTGTTATTGATGTCACAAGTTAATTTAGTGTTTTTGATTTGAAATTTGCCGCAGATTGAATCGATCGATAACATTTGAAATACGATTCATAATCGAGATCTCTAAATTTCAATTTACGGTCGATCACTCTGAAGGTAACTGCGATGCAAAAGTAATAGTTACTCATCTATGTAGATCTGTAGTATATGACTATAGTGCGTCCATTACGTGTCGTAAACATAGCTTTTGCTCAAGCGGTGTTTAAGGTTAGAAGAAAGCAAATTTAAATTAAACCATGGCAGATGTATTAGATATTGATAATGCAGAAGAATTTGAAGTTGATGATGAAGGCGATCGTAAGTTTTAGTTTCGTTTTATCATGGTTTTTGTGTTTGAATATGCACAGTTTGTTCTAACTTCCTTCATTTCATTTGTGGAAGTAGATGAAGAATAATCTTGTGCTTAGAATTTTCCCCTTTTTCACAATTATTTTATTGAACAATAATCTACAACGTACTATTACCATCTATTATTATTTGGTAAAGTTCAATATTTTTTTGAGGGACAAAAATTTTGTGAAGAACTTTATAACCTATGTACCTTTTGTACATGTTTGCAATAGTTTTTATAAAAGTGTTTTTATATTATTTCAGAGGGTATTGCACGTTTGAAGGAAAAGGCGAAGAGAAGGAAAGGTAGAGGACATGGCGCAGAGTTGGTTTCTACTCGTGACGATGTTGGTCATTATGAGTCGATGAACATTGTTGAAGAAGATGACGATGAACCGGGTCCACAAAGATGTAAGAATTTTGTCAAAATTATTATATAATTATGTTTATTTACATTTAACTAATTAGCAATCAATTTTGTTATGTTCTCTAGCTGTAGAAGGATGGATTTTGTTTATAAATTCAGTACACGAAGAAGCACAAGAAGATGATATTCAAGACAAATTCTCAGAATTTGGACAAATTAAAAATCTGCACTTAAATTTGGATCGAAGGACAGGATTCTTAAAAGGATATGCTTTAGTTGAATATGAAACGTTTAAAGAAGCACAAGCAGCAAAAGATGCTTTAAATGGAACAGAAATTTTAGGACAACCTATCTCAGTCGATTGGTGCTTTGTTAAAGGACCTAAAAAGTAAGATTCATTTTGATTATTAGTATGAATAACATTTTTATTTATGTGAAGTATTAACAGACTTAATCATTATTGCAGGATAAAGAAGAGAAGCCATAGAAGGCGATGAGATTTTATTAATTAAGACTTCTATTTTCTTCATATACAACTATTTGAGCTAAGAAAGATTGTTTTTCACATTAATTGTAAAAAAGAAGCGGATTATTACAAATTTTACAGTTTCCACCAAAAACTGATTACTCATACAGTGTAAACTTTGTTCAGTTACAATTACTGTGTATGAAAGTAATTAATTTATGTTCATAAAAATAAAAACAATTTTCTGTAAATATTTGTGCTATTTGTTTTACATCTATTACCTACATGACGTAATGTTTTTTAAACGAAATGTTTTTTATGGCACAGTATAAGTTCAAGGAGGCCGATTTTAGAAGCTGCATTAGCGTACTAATTACTTTATTAGGGCTTGAAATTTGATAGATTATCATACTTTTATGATTGACATATACATTCAAGTTTAGAATTTCAATTAATACCATATCATAGCACTTTAATTTGTACAAAGAGTAAATAGTTTACAAAGTCGACAACATTACTCTTAGAACAAGCTATATAATTATCAAAACTACAGTTTTCGTTTACATATGTTCACTTTAATACTTATTTCAATATTTCAAATGTATAATATAAGTAGAATTATGTACATATACTTGTTAATTGTTATATAAATTTCTAATAAATTTAGTCTTATGCATTACAGATTAAATGCTAGATTGCGGCATGAAACTGATCTCCATCTACTAGCGCATATTGCAAGAAGATTGAGATTAATTATTTGAAGAGAACTATGGTTTTGAAGAACGTTGATATGCAGTTCCATTAGACATCCTTCACATCTCACCGCAGTGCAGCGTATGAAGCTAAAAATATAGATTACTATGTTCATTAGTATTGTATTATGTATTATATGGAATATTATATTTCAATATTATATTATTGTATTATATTATAGACTTCATTAGTATTGTATTATTTGTATTATATTTATTTATTGAACTTCGTTGTATGTAAAAAAAAAATGATTTAATAAACATTTCAAACGAATTACATGTGTACTTTACTTCCATCCCTTCCATTAATATAAAATAATTTAATATTAAAAATAAAATTCATACTAAAAGTAATAGAAAAATAAAAGAAAATAATAACGTATAAAAAATGAAAGTAAAACAAGAAAATTAAAATACCTCCTAACTTATGTTCTCCTAATACAAAATTTCGATTTCGGACATCTGGATTTTGCATAATCAATTCTCGAGAATTCCTGGAATTTGACGTCACCAGAATTCCAAGAATTGGAATTTGTGCCACCTCCTCGCATATTATATTCTCCTGATACCAAATTTCAAAATTGGTAACTGGGATTTCAAAATAAATTTCGAGAATTCCTGGAATTTAACGTCATCAAAATTCTAAGAATTGGTATTTGTGCCACCTCCTCTCATATTATGTTCTCCTGATACCAAATTTCGAAATCGGTAGCTTTGATTTCAAAAACTCGACTTCGAAAATTCTTGGAAGTGACGTCATCAAAATTCCGAGAAGTGGTAATCGTGCCACCTCCTCACTTATTATATTCTCCTGATACCAAATTTCAAAATTGGGAAATTGAATTTGAAAAATCGACTTCGACGATTCTTAGAAATGACGTCGTCAAAATTCTAAGAATAGATATTTGTGCCACCTCCTCGATTATTATATTCTCCTGATACCAAATTCCGAAATCGGTAACTTTGATTTCAAAAAATCGACTTCGAAAATTCTTGGAAATGACGTCATCAAAATTCCAAGAAGTGGTATTCGTGCCACCTCCTCTCATATTATGTTCTCCTGATACCAAATTCCGAAATCGGTAGCTTTGATTTCAAAAACTCGACTTCGAAAATTCTTGGAAGTGACGTCATCAAAATTCCGAGAAGTGGTAATCGTGCCACCTCCTCACTTATTATATTCTCCTGATACCAAATTTCAAAATTGGGAAATTGAATTTGAAAAATCGACTTCGACGATTCTTAGAAATGACGTCATCAAAATTCCAGGAAGTGGCATTTGTGCCACCTCCTCACATATTATGTTCTCCTTATACCAAATTTTTATTTCATCTTCTATTTCGTAAAACTGGATTTTGAGAATTTGTGCAATATTTTTATGGTAATTTTATTTCATCTAGTCCCTCTATTCTATTGGTAGATAGTTATATATTTTACAGTCCGTGAAATGCAATATTTCTTGTTTTTTTTTAATGCTTTTTTCAAAATATGATGAATTTTCGGTTCAATTAAGAACATTTCTGTCGGATTGAGGAAAGGGTGAAAGGTGTAGGTTTTAAAAAAAGAACACAGTTTTCTATTTTATTAATACAGATTTTTATTGAAATCAATTGGTTACAAACATTTGGATACAAGTACAATAATGGTATAATGCATTCAGTTGTCAATGTATGGAATAAATGGACTGCAGGAGGAAAATTGGGTCAGCGCCATCTAGCGGTTGGGGTTCAGAAACTACTCCTGGTAACAGGATCGCAGAAAAGTGTAAGAGGTAGGCGGAGTAAAAAGTATCCGCGTAGGCGGGGCGCATGCGCAGTAGAGCTGGTCTAGACACTCCTATTCCATTATGGCGGCTGAGGAGGTGTCCCACGCACTGGCGCGCATGCGCCGTAGAGCTATCGAACGATATAGGCTATTATATGCTAGAAGAAAAATTAATTACTAATTTTCTGAATATAATTTGTGCACTTTCATGATTGAAGAATGATCACAGAATCACGAATTGCTTTCTTATACCAAATTTGTTCAGGTTACTACAGGTAATAATTTGTTATTAATTATTATTCCCGTAAAAGTCGCTGCATTTCGTGGTACGTACGAGCTCATTAAAAATAATTAATTGCTCATTTTCTGAACATACTTTGTATACTTTTATTGTTAAAGAATGCTTAGTGATTCCCTAGCTATCTTCTCATATTATATTTGTTGAGATTGTTATTGAATCTAATTAGTTATTAATATTTTACTGTAAGCAGTGTGATACTATGTTGTCCTACTCATTTATTGTATACACGTAAAGAATTGACAGTCACATGCAAAAATTTTGGTAGAGGTATGTCGCGCTGGGATCTGAAATCTACTATTGGTATCAGGATCACAGAAAAGTAAAGGAGGTATACGGAGCAAGAGGTATCCCGCGCAGCCGGCGCGCATGCGCAGTAGCGTCGCACACCTTCATATACACGATAATATGCCACACTATGCAAGAAACGTTAATTGCTCATTTTCTGGGCACAATTTATGCACTTTTATGATCGAAGAATCATCACTGATACCTTAGCTACTTTCTCGCATCATAGATGGTAAGATTTTGATTGGAATTTATTAGTTATTAATATTTTATTGCAGGCGGTACCGAATGACGAGGCGACTTGCAGTCGGAATTTCATTAATAACTTATTATTGCCAATAAAAATGTGAACAAATATTATATGGGAAGACAGCTAAAGAATCAGTGATCATTCTTCAATCGTAAAAGTTCATAAATTGTGTTCAAAAAGAGAGTAATTAGTGTTTTCTGCATACTCCTGCTCGTTATCGTGTATACGGAGGTGCGCGACGTTACTGCGCATGCGCGCTGTCTGCGCGGGATACCTCTTACTCCGCATACCTCCTTTACCTTTCTGCGATCCTGCTACCAGGAGTAGTTTCTGGACCCCAACCGCTAGATGGCGCCACATGACTCTTCTACCCGCGGCAAATTGAACGTTTTTAAAGAAATTACTAAATAATAAATTATCGTCTATCATATCTTTTAAGCAAATTGTATAACTGGACTTCTTTAATTACGAGTTATGGGTTTTCTAAATAAACAAAATAATTTCTATTTAATATAACTTTTAATATGCTCATTTCGAATTACGTATTTTACAAACAGTATCAGATTTTTATTAAAATTCAAGTCTTTTATCAATACAATTTTGACTTGCATTTATTGTGGAGTATAATTAATAAATAATTGTATAACGAATCTTAAGCATAGTAATTAAGATTTGCTTTCTTCTTTGCTTGAACTTCGTTAATAGCTTCCATTAAGTCTTCATGAGTAACTGCAAATGCATTACGCCTTAGTGCAATCATACCCTGCAAAATATCATAAAAAATCAATTTTAAATACTTCAACAAAATTTTAATATTAAAATATAACATTATTACATACCGCTTCCACACAGACAGCTTTACATTGAGCTCCATTGAAATCATCAGTGGACCTTGATAGTTCTTCGAAATTAACGTCTGGAGACATGTTCATTTTTCTTGAATGAATTTGCATTATACGTGCTCTGGCTTCTTCATTTGGATGAGGGAATTCTATTTTTCTATCCAAACGACCTGACCTCAGTAAGGCTGGATCTAAAATATCTACTCTGTTAGTAGCTGCAATTACTTTAATATCTGCAGTTGAACTGAATCCATCTAACTGATTTAACAGTTCTAACATTGTACGCTGTACTTCCCTATCACCAGCTTTTTCAGAGTCAAATCTTTTTGTACCAATTGCATCTAATTCATCGATGAAAATAATTGCAGGTGCTTTCTCTTTTGCCAGCGAAAATGCATCTCTTACTAATTTTGCACCATCACCGATAAACATCTGAACAAGTTGGGGACCTGCTAGTTTCAAAAACGTGGACTTTGTCTGGGCAGCACAAGCTCTAGCCAATAAAGTTTTGCCAGTTCCTGGAGGTCCATACAAAAGTACACCTTTTAGTTTCTGGACCCCAACCGCTAGATGGCGCCACATGACTCTTCTACCCGCGGCAAATTGAACGTTTTTAAAGAAATTACTAAATAATAAATTATCGTCTATCATATCTTTTAAGCAAATTGTATAACTGGACTTCTTTAATTACGAGTTATGGGTTTTCTAAATAAACAAAATAATTTCTATTTAATATAACTTTTAATATGCTCATTTCGAATTACGTATTTTACAAACAGTATCAGATTTTTATTAAAATTCAAGTCTTTTATCAATACAATTTTGACTTGCATTTATTGTGGAGTATAATTAATAAATAATTGTATAACGAATCTTAAGCATAGTAATTAAGATTTGCTTTCTTCTTTGCTTGAACTTCGTTAATAGCTTCCATTAAGTCTTCATGAGTAACTGCAAATGCATTACGCCTTAGTGCAATCATACCCTGCAAAATATCATAAAAAATCAATTTTAAATACTTCAACAAAATTTTAATATTAAAATATAACATTATTACATACCGCTTCCACACAGACAGCTTTACATTGAGCTCCATTGAAATCATCAGTGGACCTTGATAGTTCTTCGAAATTAACGTCTGGAGACATGTTCATTTTTCTTGAATGAATTTGCATTATACGTGCTCTGGCTTCTTCATTTGGATGAGGGAATTCTATTTTTCTATCCAAACGACCTGACCTCAGTAAGGCTGGATCTAAAATATCTACTCTGTTAGTAGCTGCAATTACTTTAATATCTGCAGTTGAACTGAATCCATCTAACTGATTTAACAGTTCTAACATTGTACGCTGTACTTCCCTATCACCAGCTTTTTCAGAGTCAAATCTTTTTGTACCAATTGCATCTAATTCATCGATGAAAATAATTGCAGGTGCTTTCTCTTTTGCCAGCGAAAATGCATCTCTTACTAATTTTGCACCATCACCGATAAACATCTGAACAAGTTGGGGACCTGCTAGTTTCAAAAACGTGGACTTTGTCTGGGCAGCACAAGCTCTAGCCAATAAAGTTTTGCCAGTTCCTGGAGGTCCATACAAAAGTACACCTTTAGGAGGTTGAATACCAAGATTCTCAAATTTCTCTTTGTGCGTCATAGGCAACACAACAGCCTCTATTAATTCCTGAATCTGTTTGTCCAATCCACCAATATCTGAGTACTGCTCTGTAGGCCTTTCATCTACTTCCATAGCTTTTACTCTCGCATCGTACTCAGCTGGTAATGTTTCAAGTACAAGATAACTGTCCTTATTAACACCTACTAAATCACCAGGCTTTAACGCTTCTGCGTCAACTAATCCAATCACTGGTAAAAAGTATGTTTGTCGAGTAGAGGTTTTAATTACTGCACACTTTCCTTTTCTTTGCGCATCTAAATCAACAACTGCACCGTCTTCTTCTCCCATGTCTTGAGGATCAACATCTAATAATTCTATAACATTAGATACTAAATAAGGTAAAGTTTTATTCACTTTAATCTTCTCTGTATTTTCTTTGATCTTATCATTTTGTGCCTGAAGCTCATGGGAAATTCTCATTACTTCGCTTTTCATGATTTTTATTTCATTATCTAGTAAACGTGTACGGGAGACAATTTCATCGGTGGACATTCTTAAAACATCCTCACCCAACGACTCCTGTAAAAACAATATTGTTTCGTTATTATCTGATGCAATATAACATTTAGTACATATATAATTAAAAACAGTTATTACATGTATAAATGAAAATGGTATTACCAGTTATGGATAAACAAACAATTATATTTCCAAATCTGACGATAATTTAATAAGGCTGTAGCTTAATTAGAAGCTGTTTAAATGATTATAATAGTAATTATGTTAGATTTTAAGAATTAAAATTTGTATGTGATTGAGAGTTAAATAAAAATATTACTTTATGCCTTCATTTATATGCTTGTCATTCTATCTTAACCTATACAAAACTAATTTGTGTTTTATACCTCTCCATCTTCCCAGATAGATTTATCCTCTAAAGTAGCCATTTATTCCAACGTATTAATTATATTACAAATTTAAGAACTGTGAAATATTTTATGCGTCTTTGTTTAATGAAAATTCTGTTTAGCTGAAAATTTCAACGCAGGTATCGACTGAACAACTGTTTAAATTGAGATCTCTTACTACAGAACTTATTAATCCATGCTTGTTGCACACATATACATAAATATGCGAATTTATATGTGTGCATGCACAAATTTAGTACCGTTTAGTATGGGAGAGCCCACGCTACGTGGCGCTAGTGTTTTAATGTCCACAACATGCATTATTTTAACATTTCGATTTTAGTATCTTAAATACGCTATAATGATATTATTTGAATTGCATTGAGTCTACAAAATGATTTTTATGCATTATTGAGGCTTATACATGATTTATTTTACGAGAAAAAGCAATTATTTAATTTTCTGATTCCTACGCTCACCGCTAGATGTCGTCAGCGGTGCCGCTTCAAAAGAGCGCGAAAATTCAAATTCGAAAAGCGCACAAAAATAAAATTTTCATAATTTCAGCTTGATAAATCAATTAAATTACAGTCAGGTGCTATCATTTGCACCCTCTACGCAAACTATATAACTCTAAATAGGTAATTATGTTACAAACACTTCTATTATGAAACAACAGTATTTTATACTAACTTTAATCAACAAATAAATTAATTTACAATTTGTAGTTGTAAATATTATATACCTAATGAGCATACCAACTTTTTAGTCCATGAATCTATTTATTTAAAATATTTATAATACATAATGTCACGTAATGTAAATAAACAAAATATAAAGTCAAGTGAACAAATATGTAGAACAGTGAAACTGGAATAATAACGATCTTTTTTAATATCAGCAACTGTTGTATGTTACCATAAATCCAGAGTACAGGGTAATTTTATTCTGCGAAAAATAGAACGCATTAAAGATGCAATTTTTGTTGCTCTCATTGAATAGGAAGTTAATTACAGACATCATAAACGCTGGCCAGACGAGAGTTTAGAATGAGCACTCCAAGAAAAGTTTCCGTGGGAATTCTCCTCTCAAATTGGAAAAGTTTAATAGCTTCCAAAAGATATTCACCTCTTTTTCTAAAACTGTGTATTTGCTGCCTTCATTTTTCTGTTATATTTTTACACAATTTGAACACTATATTATTAACAAACTTTTGTGAACAAGAAAACAATTTCTTGAGTAAATAATAAGACTTATTAATTTTTAACATATTATTTTTTCTGCATAAAAGTAGAAAAATATTTTGCAATTTTTATATAAGAGTCGACTGAAATTTTTGATTAACAAAAGTGTAAGAGGTTTCGATAAACAATTGTCAGAACCGTAACACGGAGAAAATAAATTTGTTAGGAATGCAGTTCAAACAGTTGATGTATGAGCAACCGCAGCAAATTTAATAAAGTAGAAAATTCGACTTTTCTAAAAAGAGGTGTTCACGTCGGCGAGGAGTGATCCAGTTTTAATTCACAGACAATGCATCTTCATTTTTCTCATTCTGAAATTTTTAACTTCAAGACTATGGTGTCGAGGAACATTGTTTGTGGAAGTGTGTTAACAGTTAACTGACAGGTTTAAAAAAGAGTAGTATTATTCATCGAAAGGGGTATTAGAAAAATAATTCGGTTACTTCAGAATTTGAAAATTTGGACGTTTTTATTTCTCACATTTTTTCAATTTCGTTGGACACATACACATAATGAAAACATAAACACGAAATGTAAATATAAACACTGAAGATGAACATAAACATTGAAAAAAAATATAAACATTAAATGTAAACATAAAGATAGAATTGAAACATAAAAATGAAACTTAAACCCTAAAGCTAAATTTTAATTTTGTGAATGTAAACATAAACATTGAATGTAAACATAAACATTGAATGTAAACATAAACATTGAATATAAACATAAACATTGAATATAAACATAAACATTGAATATAAACATAAACATTGAATATAAACATAAACATTGAATGTAAACATACACCCAGGACACACACATAAACACAGCCACAGACACAAACCTTGCACACACACAAAAGGTCATGAATTATTAATACAAACTGCAAATTATGAATTTTAAATTGCACATTACAAACTGTGGAATAATACAACGTAACATACGCAATAATTTTATTTTAACGAATCTTAAACGACAATAAATTCCACGTTATTTTATTCCAAAAGGTATTAAACTTTTTTCACCAATAATTTGTACTGTATAATTTTCCATGAAATAAATAAATGGATGAATTGAAAGTACTTATAATTAAGGTATAAACGAATGAAACCTGTTCATTATAAAATACCCATAGAATGATAAATTAAAAACAGCGAACAATACAGAATCATGATCCTGTTTCATGCTGTCCTTTATACAAAGAAGAGAGAAGATTCGCAACAGAGGGAATTAATTTACGTTAATTGAATCACCGGGATCACAAAGTACAACGAACAAAGTACTCAATTACGCGGCCTGGCACATGTTAAGCGCGGAAATACGAAGAAATAAGTTATAGGTGTTCGTTAGAAGAACGCGGTGTCACTTGTAAACTTCATTAGCCGAGAAAAATGCGTCACCGCAATAAAGTATTATATATTATGTTACACCACTACATTTCCTGTTCCGTCGTTAATCACTGACTTCTATAACGGTTATCTTGCGACGAGATTTATGACTGAAGCGGGAGTACGTGATATGCGCGTCCACCATCTTGGAATTTTATGGAACATGCAAATCATCGCTGATGGATAAAGTTATTAATATTTAGATTAGTTAATGATATTTGGACATTTTCTATAAAGGAAAATTGAGAATAATGTTACTTGAAGATAAATGAAAATGAATAAAATAATTGACGACAATATATAGTATAAAATATGAAATGAACGATCGAGGGTGGAGTAAAAAAATGTTACTCAAAAATAAATGAAAATTTTGTGAATAAAATATTTGATGTAATGCAGTACAAAATACAAAATGAAGGATCGAGGAAGGAGTAAAGTAATGCTACGTAAAGATAAATGAAAATTTGTGAATAAAATAATAGATGACAAGATATAGTATAAAATACAAAATGAAAGATTGAGGAAGGGTAAAGGAATGTTACTTAAAGATAAATAAAAATTTGTGAATAAAATACTTGATGGCATACAGAACAAAATACAAAATGAAGGATCGAGGAAGGAATAAAGTAATGTTACTCAAAAATAAATGAAAATTTATGAATAAAATAATAGACGACAAGATATAGTACAAAATACAAAATGAAGGATCAAAGAAGGAATAAAGAAATGTTGCTTAAAGATAAATACAAATTTGTGAATAAGATACTGGAGGGCATACAGTACAAAATGCAAAATGAAGATTCGAGGAAAGAGCAAAGAAATGTTACTTAAAGATAAATGAAAATTTATGAATAAAATAATAGATGACAAGATATAGTACAAAATATAAAATGAAGGAAATAATATTCTGACTTGATTCCTCATAGTCGTATAAATATTTGTTAACAATTTTTAAATTTGCTATCGATGAAATTTTTACGTAGTCATTTTGGCTAGATCTTACTATTTGTCCTAAGTACCAACTAATCATTACATACTAAAAATATCGAACGGAATCAAAGAAATTTCTACACAGTCATTTTCCTTAGACTTCGACCTTTAAATTGATATGCCACAAGTGCCATTTCTTGAAACTTTTCTGTCATGAATTTGAATCACACTTTTAACATTTCAAAATCACTTACTATTTGTCCTAAGTACCAACTAATCATTACATACTAAAAATATCGAACGGAATCAAAGAAATTTCTACACAGTCATTTTCCTTAGACTTCGACCTTTAAATTGATATGCCACAAGTGCCATTTCTTGAAACTTTTCTGTCATGAATTTGAATCACACTTTTAACATTTCAAAATCACTTACTATCTGACCTAATTGACAACCAACAATTTCAGATTGAAAATATCAATGAAACTTCTATGTAGTCATTTTTGTTAGATCTTGACCTTTAAATTGATATGCTACAAATGTCATTTGTTGGCACTTTTCTGTCATGAAATTGATCCACCCTCTCCACCTTCCAAAATCACTCATCGCTCATAATAATTCCCAACCAGCCACTTCATATTAAGAACATCAATAAAACCTCTACACACTGCTCTTCCTTAGACCTCAACCTTTAAAATGACACGTCGCAAGCCTAACTTCTCAAAACTTTCATTTCATTGATTGGTTGATTGATTAATTCATTGATTGATCGATTGATTAATCGATTGATTGACTGATTGACTGATTGACTGACTGACTGACTGATTCATTGATCGATTGATTGATTGACTGACTGACTGACTGACTGACTGTTTGACTGACTGACTGACTGATTGATTGATCGATCGATCGATCGATCGATTGATTAGTTGATTGATTGATTTTATAAGGGTCTCGACTGCTATGATCATTGGCCCATTCTATCTAACGAAGTCACAAAGTTTCAAAATCCAGATTTCCAATCATCAATAATTAATCAGTCCTAATTTGAGTCACGTTTTTAATAGAACTGCGTCGTAACCGTATTCTCATTTTCATCGCGTTTTTCGCGTGAAAATTTTCCGCCCGAAAGCGTCCGATACGGTCCTCTAAGGCGAGCGATACCATCTGAGAGGGGGGGTTCCAGGAGAAGAAAACGGTCGACACGAACCATACGGGACATGATAAATCTTTCGAATATCTCTTTTCTCCGATTGCCCGTGTAACATCGCCATCGAGCAAGCACGAAGTGCTACCATATTACTTCGTTTCGCTCCTTTCCTTGGTGCGTTTTAAAAGAAACACAGTCGTTACCTCCACGAGAGATCTTCTTACACTCGGAAGAGTTATCGCGTGTCAGCGAAATAGATATTACATTTTTAACATTCTATTTACGCGCGAATTGCTCGCGATCGATCACTCGAGAGGGTTTAACAGGAATTACGACTACCGTTGAAATCAGCCTTCTAATAAAATTGAATATACACCCTTATGTGACAGCTATTAAAGCTCAGAAATAAAATGCTGCAGAAATTGTGGCAGTGTGTGTGATTCTAGTGTTGTACTAGGATTTTTTGTAAACTTAGAATT